GGGTAAACAGGGTATAAAAACAACCTTAGATTCATTAGCTAGAACAGAATACCCTAAATCGCATAAATTATTACTCTGTATAGCTGATGGTATCATTTATGGCAATGAAAATGATTTTTCGACACCAGACATTTGTGTTTCATTGATGAGTGATTTTCTTATTCCTCCTGATGAAGTTGAACCTCATTCTTACGTTGCAATAGCAGATGGTAAAAAGCGACATAATAAGGCAAAGGTTTATGCTGGTTATTATACTTATCGAGAACTGGATGGGAGGCAAGATCGTGTTCCTATGATCACTATAGCTAAATGTGGTGGTCCTGGGGAAGAAAATGATAAAAAACCTGGAAATCGTGGTAAACGTGACTCTCAAATTATTTTGATGAGTTTCTTACAAAAAGTTATGTTCAATGAAAGGATGACTCGACTTGAATATGAATTTTTTACTGCAATTCGATCTGTCTGTGGAGTTACTCCTGACTTTTTTGAAGTAGTTCTTATGGTTAGTAATAAGATTTTTTTTTTTTTATTGCCAACTTTCTACGAATTTTAGAGTAATATTAATAACATATGTATCATAAATTTAGATTGATGCTGATACAAAGGTTTTCCCTGATTCATTGGTTCGAATGGTTGCCTGTATGTCACATGATTCAAGTATAATGGGGCTTTGTGGAGAAACAAAAATCTCAAACAAAAATGATACTTGGGTGACAAGGATTCAAGGTATATAAAATTTTTAATTTGTATTTTTTTTATATTGAGAACACAAGTTTTGTTTATATCATGTCTAACAAATATTTATTATAATTTTAATCTTATATTTATATATTTATATATATTTATAAATATTTATATAAATATTTATATATTTGTGTTTATTAGTTTTCGAATACTACATTAATCACCATTTACAAAAGGCGTTCGAATCCATTTTTGGTGGTGTCACTTGTTTGCCTGGTTGCTTTTGCATGTACAGGATTAAAGCACCAAAAGGCGAGAATGGATATTGGGTTCCTATTCTTGCAAATCCGGATATTGTTGAACAATACTCTGAAAATGTTGTTGATACATTACATAAGAAAAATTTACTTCTTCTCGGAGAAGATCGATATCTCACAACTCTTATGCTTAAAAACTTTCCTAAACGAAAAACATTATTTGTTCCTCAATCAGTTTGTAAAACTGTAGTACCTGATACATTCCGTATACTTCGTTCTCAACGTCGTCGATGGATCAATTCCACAGTGCATAATCTTTTAGAACTTGTTCTTATTCCTGATTTGTGTGGAACTTTCTGCTTTTCCATGCAATTCGTTATATTTATGGAGTTGGTTGGCACAGTTGTACTTCCTGCTGCTATCTCTTTCACCATGTATTTAATAGTAATATCGTTCTTTCAAAATCCTCCTCCTATAGTTCCTTTGCTTCTTTTGGCAGCTGTATTAGGATTGCCTGCTATTCTCATTATGGTGACAACACGTAAAATTATTTATGTTGGTTGGATGTTAATTTACCTTTTATCATTACCAATATGGAACTTTGTTCTTCCATCATACGCATTTTGGCATTTTGATGATTTTTCATGGGGTAAAACTCGCCAAGTGAAGGGGGATGAAGGTGGTCATTCAGATCATTCAAGAAGGGAAGGAGAGTTTGATAGTTCACATATTGTTATGAGACGATGGGCTGAATGGGAAAGGTATAGACTTCGTCGGGATTCACAGCACCGAATACAATCAGTACAATTATCTCCTGATGAAAATTTTAATATACCATCAACACGCCCATCATCAGCATCAACAATGTATGGTAGTGAAAAATCAGAATCCATACCCATAGGACCAATTAATGCAAGGAGTGGTATTAGAAGAAAAACTGATTCACTAATGGTACCACCTCCATTAAGTAGTGATCCTTCAACACCTGTTTCACCACCTACACCATCTAGTACTATCCCAAATGAGGGCTATGTATCATCCAATGGTGATTATTCACAAATGTCACAACCAATTTATACGCCACCATCAAGATCAAACACTAATAGTACAAACTATAGTTATAGTAGTAATCCACATGCTGGCATTATTGGGGGTGCTTCATATTCAAATGGATACGAAGAAAATAATCATATTCAACAACGTAGAGAATTTTAATATTATTATGAAATTTAATTTTTCTGAGGGTGCAAGGACAATATTGTCGTTTAAAAAAGTAATTGGTATGATTAAATTAATCCATCAGTTTCCGTGTTGCATTCTTTTTTTTTTCGAACATTGGTGTTCGATAATTAACATTTGGATATCGGAAGGAAATGGTAAAGTCATGATTTAGCCCATTAAAACAAAAATTATAATAATATACGTATTTGGTGTAATAGTAGTAAATTTTATTGTTGTAGTATTAGCATTTTTTTGAATATATATTATGTACAAAATTGTACTAAAGTAAAAAAAAAAATAAATAAATAAATAATACAAAACTAATGGATATTTAATTTATATTACGTAGTAATAATAATAAATTATTTATATACACGTATGAATAAAAATATATTCTTAACCTATTACAGTATATATATACATTATACGTATAGAAATAAATTAACTATCCTAAAATGGTTTCTAAGCATCGATTTACGCGTATAACAAAAAAAGAGTATCTAAGGTTAGCGCTCAGGCTCGGATTAGATGTTAACCCGAAGCAAACCAAAAAATTCCTAATCGGTAATTCAAAATTAATTCGTCTTGGTTATTGGTAAAGTTCGTTTAAACCTAAAAAAAAAAAAAATTGAAATATCAAGCGATTTTAATGTTAAAAATAGCATTTTATATTACGCAATTTGGGAAATTCCATTTTTAAGCCCAGGATTATCAACCCATTTTTAAAATAATCGATAAATATCTCAGGGTAGTGATAGAATTTAAAGTTCACATGGTAGCATAACAGGTAAAATCTAAATTTATCGTTATTCTGTAACAGGTCGTAGAATTCTAAAATTTTTTAGTTTGGTTTTTTAAAAAAAAAGTTGGCCGATTATAAAACCTGTTGTAAATTAAAATAAAACTAGATTAAAAAAACATAGCTGATAAGCTATGTAATACTGTATTATAAGTGATTTTTTGTATTTGACAAAAGTTTTATACGTATATAAAGAGCTAAGCGTTGGTAGTAAAAGGTTATGTAAAGCGTTTTATAAATTTATTTTACTGTATATAGAGTTTCAATCCATTAGATATCCAGATCTGAATTTATTCGGATATCTATTTGCTATCCAATTACTACGCTATTGATATCCGGATAAATCCGGATCTGAATTATCCGGATGAGGATTGGAACTCTAACGATACTAATAGTTTTTTTTTATACGTTTACTAAAACATACTATATATATACGTAATAGTGTTTTAATACGGACTTTGTCAAAATTTTGAAACTTAATTGTCGCAACATGTGATGCTAGGGTTCTAATATTCAAACCCCATTTATACTGTAATTAGTAATTGTCGCGAATTATAGAAATCAAATTAAACCCTCTAAAATTCACTTATACCTGTTTATTATAAAATTTACTTTAAAATTAACCTCTAACTCTAACCTTAACTCTAAAAAATATATTTTAAAAATTTTTATTTTTTAGTGGTTTGTTTATTTTTATTTTGTATAATATATATATATTTTATTTAAAATACAGTATATTAAAAATAAATACTATATATATCTTTTTAATATTTGTAAAGATATACAAAAAAATTAATATATTTTAAAAAATATACTATAAATTTTATAATAAATTTTTATATTAACAAGTTATAGCTTAAATTGAAATATAAATTAATTTATTTTTTTAATTTTAGTATTAAAATATATATATATATTGTATATATATATATATATATACTGTATTTGATATTAAGATGGCCTCTTTGGTCTGAGAACATTTTATTAAATGAATAGATATGTTTATAATTATAATGAGGGTACATCAAGCCACATATGCACTTTTGGTATCTAATTTAAGTATATAGTTTACCCAAAGGTTCTACACTATTTGCTATATCTGTATCCCAACTATAGAAATATCTATTTAAACCTTCTGGTTACAACTGCATATCTCATAACACTTAATTTTGGATATTAGCTTACTATATATATATAGATTTCATCATTTATTTATATAGATTTTGCATCCTATCTTAGAACTATTTATTCTCAAGACAAATCTAACAAAGTAATATATATCTCACATATGTTTTTACTTGCATATTCAGTAATTTCTTTCTAATTAGTACATGCTATACTACTATACTATGTATATATCTTATGCCATCTTTTAGAATACAGTTATTTTACAGTTACTCAAGCCACAACCTTTCTAGTTAGTCACCTATTATATTCTTCTTGCCCTTATTAGGTTTATAACAATTTTGATACCCACATTCCAACTTTGTTTATTCATGAATTTCTTATCAATTTTTTATTTATTTTTAGCTAACAACTTGGAAAAGTCAATTAGCCCAGGCTTTAAATATCTTACAATCATCTTTTCCTTAGTACATGCTTCTAGAGTACATATTTTTTTTTTTCCAGTTTAGCAATTTAGTAGTTTAGCTAATATGTCCTTCTACTTAAAAATCTAGTCACTTGGTTCTTCGATCTTGGTCTTCAGTTCCAATTTCAGTTTTTCTGTAGTACTATTAAAGATTATTACTATTTCCCAACTTAGAACTTGTCAAATAAGTTTTCAGTTATTCCAGTTTCTTGAATTTATTATACCAGAGTTTCTATTTTAAATAATATAACTAAAGTTACAGATTAGAATTTAATCAATTAATAATAGCTATTAACTGTATTATAGTACTATTTTTTGAAAACATTATTTATAGAATTTAAACTTTAAATTTACTATCTGAAGATATAACAACTTTACTATTTTACTAAGTTATTATACTCTTTTTGTATATATATATAATTATTTTTTATAGTTAAATATTTTTTTATCATCTTTACTAAAACATACCTATAGTGTTTTATCATCTAGATTTCTATTTTTTAAAAATATACTAAGTAAATGAGATCAGATACTTTAAATAAAAATGTTTAGAACTTTAAAAATCTTATGAAAACTAAAATTAGACCTTATATTAGCTCTATATTACTGTATATTATATAAAAAAAATAATTCTTAATACCTGAACTCTAACTCTAAATTTTATTAAATACAATTATATATAGTGCTAAAACACTATAGGTGTATTTTATAATAATTGTTTTTATATATTAGTTATATTATTTTATATAATCTTGTAATAAAATATATATATATAATATTCTTTATTAGTAGTTTATTTTTTTTTTATTTTTATTTTTTTTTTGACAATCTTGCCTTTATTATTTGAGAGATACTACATTTATAAATGTACATGTATACTAAAATTACTTTTAGTTATTACCACCTCTTACACAATAAAGACTCACTCGGTTATCAAAGACACCTAAATACGATCTGCCGCAACAACATGTTCTCTCCCTCACAGGGTTCTAACTTCCTAGAACTAATCTGCGATATCAACAAAAGCCTGTTATTAGCTTGTCAAGATTGCCAAATTTCTCCCTTCTTAAAACTTTTCCCACCTAGATCTGG